TCAGAAAAATATAACAAAGTCATTTTAATTTTAAGTAAACTTACACTAAATCATTTTTTTTCACTAAGTTAAAAAAAAAGTGTCCCCTTATGTATAGTGTTCCACATTTCAAGATTGCATCCTGACTGCATGCGGCGAAAGCTCGGGCAAAGCAATTATTCTCACGCGTTTCCCACCAATCCCCTTCCTTTTTAGTGGATGAAATTAGGTTTCTATACTTTTACGGATAGAAAAACCCAAGCTTGACCGTTCTCCAATTTGAAACTCCCCGCGCTGGGGTCGCGCGTGACACCAGCGCTGCACGGCGATCGGTGGAACTCAGGGGATAGCCAAGACATCGACATACGGCCGGCCCAGCACCCTCTCCTTTCCTCGTCCTCTCTTGATTGACAGCAGAGCGCGAAAAAATATTCCGTGGACGGGATTCGAATCTAGAAAACCACGAGCCATATGAGAAAAGGCCCTTTCTCATAATACCAGAACTTCTGATAATGGTCATTCCTTGCTGAGCTATTGACCCAAAATATTCCCCATGGATTGAGATCTTGAGATCAATTTATATTATGGTTGTTGACAGTTGCGACTGAGAAGTTTTGGGTTAAAGAATGAAGTTTCAAGCCATTTTTCAGTTTATTTATTTATTTAGCTCAAAATGTAGTTAAATTATTTATTTCAAAATCAGTCATTTGACATAATAATGAAGACTTACAATTCAGAGTAAAGTCAGAGTATGCAATAGAAAATTATTACAATGTACAGAGCATCAGAAAACCAGTTTCTGAGCCAGACCAGAGAATACTTAATACGATTTGGGTAAGCTTAAAAAGGGATCACAAGCACTACGAACCAACTCTGGATTTTCAATCACTCTTTCACTGTGGATTCAAAAAATTTCTGAGCACTACTTATTAAATAGGACCCAATCTGCTTCGACACAATGAATATACTGAAGTCAATAAATACTGTATAGACAGTACACACATAAGAATTAAAACTCTAATGAAAATAAAAGATGAAATTGTGACTAGAATTACGTATGTACACTGGAATATAATCCTGTATGTAAAACAAAATTAGCTACTTTCTATTGCACTAGATAATGTTGATAAACTACCATTTGACAGATGTCAGGTTCAAGTTTGGACTGCAAAGTGTTGAAAAACGTTATTGATTCAGTGGATACATAAATATACATACATACATATACATACATACATAAGCATACATCCATTTATGAAAGATATTTTAGTTTATAACAACTGCTTTGCTGTAGACTTATTTTGAAATTACTTTATCTATGTAGAAATGGTAATAGAAATTTACATTCAGATAAGACTATTTTTTTCTTGAAGAGAAATCTGAAAATGACACATACACAAAACAAACGAAACAATCAACTTTCTTTATCTAAGCCATTCCAATGTGACCCATTGAAGCTACACCACGACTCGAGGTACCAGATGGCAAAATTACATTCTAAAAGTCATTTGATAATGCCACCAAGAAAGAATAGAATATTTGTAAGTACCTGAGAAATTACTCAGTAAGGAAAATGTATTATTAGTGTGTCGTAAGTGAAAGATATAAAATGAAAGAGCACAAATGAAGTCTCATTAACTTGACAGCACGTGACAAAGGTTGCAAGTATTTTTTTCAAAAACGATCACTCTAAAGTTAGAAAGCAACCCCACAAAAAGCATTGTTTGATTTCTTTTACTGAGAAAAGACAATATTAGAATCATCCACACCCTGGACTTACAACTAGTTCGGTTCATTATGTAATACCACATGGTTAAGGTTTTAAAAACAGATAGAAAATGAGGCCTCAAGATACAATGTATACCTAAGGAATAATTGACAAGAGGCAGAGAGAACCTGTATACTCCACAGGGTACTCAAACATAAGAGAGACAAAGCATGGTCCTCAAAAACTATTAAAAGTAGGAAGAAAGGCATCAAAAATGGTTAAACTGACAGATAGTTATGAATTAAGTAAAAATGTGATCATGAGAGCAGATTGCTTGGAGACTAGAATTATAAAAAAATGTGACTTTAATATGATGAAGATCATTCTTCAGCTTCAAACATGAGGGAAACAGATCACCTCTTATTCTGAATTTAAATCTAATGCAAATTTGTGAGCAAACGGTGGGAAAAATCTTAGGACAATTTTCAAAAAGATAAACTTACTAAGATACCTACAATTCGTTGAGCTACTATGTTGAAGGAAATATCATTAAAATATCAGTCTACAGTCAAATGTAAAACCATCAGTCTGATTACACCATCTGGGCCTTAAAAACAGAATATGAATCAATTACGCTATAATTCTTGATAAAAGTAGAATCAACTTCTGAAATGCTTCGTCAATCACAGGACAAAGTAAATTTACTAAAACATGGAAAAGTATACAAAATATCAATTTGTTTTGCATTTATATAAAAATAAAATAAAAATGAGTTCCTGCGACTAGTTTCATAAAAATATGCAAATTTTAAGTTTATTCCAATGCTTGTCTCTCTAATGTATAAGATTTTAATTTCCCCTGCAACTTTTAATATCTATGCTATTGTTTCATTTTTATAAAACACATAGATAAAACACATTCATGACTAAACAAAGAAAAAAAAGACCTACTTAAAAACTGATCTAATGCCTGGTCGACTTTTGCTAACAGTTCCTGGAATATCTTTAGCAACACTAGCAGCAGTGGGTCTCATGAACCGCAAGCCACTACTGGACACAGGTTTTAAAGTAATTTTATTTAAAGTTGACACTTTTTTAGGAGAGGTTCCTACACTACTTCCGCTGCTACTACTACGGCTTGCAAGAGCACCTGTATGTGAATTTTCCTTAAAACTTGTTCCAAGGCCACTGGTTATCTTAGGCCGCTGAATAGTTGGCCCAATACTACTTCCACTGCTACTACTTCTACTAGCTGGAACAGAGGTTTTGGGGGCTTTTGGTTGAACAGTGGCAAGTGGTCTTTTAGGGGTAATTGAACGATTGAGACCAAGCTTATTAAGATCTTTTCCTACAGAGTTGTTGCAATCTGGATTTGTTCTGTTCAGATTGGAAGTAAGAGATTTTATGGCAGATGTGTAACCAGTCATTCTTCCAACATTGGATTGGTTTGAAGACTTTGTAACAGGAGATGGGATATTCTTTACAGTGTTTACAGATGTGGCACTGGCAAGGGAGCTGCGGGAGCTTCTTAGACTTGTTCTCGAGTTTGATCTTTCTACAGCTGGTCTCTTTGAGTTTGGACCACAATGACCATCAGTTATTAAAGATGAACGAGAACCTCTCAAGCTAGATTTAGAATTAGACCGTTCAACACTAGAATTGCGAACATTATTTTTAACAGGTTGAGCACTACCCTGGGTGCTAACTTGACGAAGACTTGGTGAGCGTCTTGGCACAGCAGAACTACCACTTCGCCCCGTTTCTGCTCTTGAACCAAAAGCTGCTTTGACAGAATTACTCCTCTCAAGTTTATGCCTTGCAGTACTTACCACATTATTTTCTGACAATTTTGCTGGTGCTGTCGATACACCATTAATTGTTGGTTGAGTAGACGGATGGGTACTGCTGCTAGTTTCACCACTTCCACTACTGTCTGCTCTGTTTAACTGAATTGGTTTCTTGCGAGCTGGAGAATCAACAACATCTGATGAAGTTCCTTGACTCAAAGTTTCAGAAACCAGGCTCTGGGTTTCTTCAAAACCTTCATCTAATAAATCATGTTCTGATCGTAATTTTCCATGTACAGCAGGTGTAGATGCTTGGACCCGAATTTCAGGGATTAGTTCATTACTCTGCCGCGTCTTGTTGCCATGGTGAAAAGCAGGTGACCCATGCAGAAGATACTGGCTACATGCTGAGGGTCCCTTAGGCACTCTTGGTACTGTAGGAGTTATTTCACCTCCACCTCGAGAATGCTTCAGGGCTTCATGTACTTGACTAGGCTCAATCATACTACGTACTCTGTCTCGAGCAGTGAGTTTTGATTCAGTTGGTCTATTTCTAAGGGCTTGCATCACATCATTACGGTCTACCCCAGTAAGGAAACGAGTGTTTGGTCTTCCTGTCCTTGAAATAGCATCTAAATTTTGTAATTCCTTACTAGATTTTGAGATGTTTGCAAGAGCTTCCTGAGTTACTCCATCCGAGTCATCAGTTCGTTTGTCCTTGTCCAGGTCATTTTCAGGACTAGGTCTAGGATTCAGGCGATCCTGCCATTTCTTTAATCTCTTTTGAGATTCTTCTGATAGAGGGTGGCTTAGCTCTTCTGAAGTACTCACAGGCAATGAATGAGCTTGTTGAGTATTAGGACGTAAAATTTGCTTTTCAGGGATAAGTTGAGAACATGTTTCCAGTTTGGTTTGCTTATCTTCAGTACTTTCTTCCTTTTGCAATGGTGATTGATCCTCTTTATCAGATTCCTGGTTTTTCTTGTAACGTCGTGTGCGACGAGCAGACGAAAATCTTTCAAATTGTCCATCTCCCATTTCTTCTTCATCTTGACCCTTGAGTTGACCATCTGAATTAATTTTTGTGAATGATTCAGTGGATAAAATTCGTTCCCTGCTGGCACTTCTACGGGGTGTCTGTTTTTTGGTCTGCTGTTGTAATCCATGAAAGACTTTACGGGTAGCTGGAGGAGTCTCAATATTGTCAGAGTCAATTTCTATGCGATCGCTTACAATCTCATTATCACAGGATGGAGGTTTTCTCAAACGCCTTGGAACAAAAGGAGGAAGCTGATCATCCTCTCTCTCTTTATCCCTCTCCTTTTCGTCAGGTCTACCAACTATGGATTTGAAGAAATCTTCTGCAGCATCTGAGGGGTTGCGATATCTGTTGAGAAATTGCGAACGGGACAGAAGCGGACTTCCTGGTGCACTTGCGACTCCAGAGTCTGGTCTCAGTTTAGGTTTGTCTCTATCAGACACACTGTGGTCACTGTGTTCAGGCTCCGTCACTATAGGTATGTTTCTACGTTTCACCTCTTCCTTGATTGCCTGGAACATAAAATCTATGTTTGACTAACAGTTCTCATCTGAATATTAATGAAAATGCATAAATTAAACAATGCAAAAATACACATACATGCAAAGTGTTAGCTGATGGAGGAGGATCCATAGTTCCTCTTGAACGCATTCGTCTCAACCGCCTGACTTCTAACTCAGTCTCCTCAGTGGTATTGGGAACATTTAGATTAGACTTTCTCCAAGATGACTTATCCTTCAAAGTAGGTTGTGCCTCTGGAAAAGGAAAAACACAAATGTAATATCTAGTGAAAGTACCGTATACAGATGACAAAGAAATAGAATAATTTAAAAGCTTGATAGTAAGAGCAAAACATTAAAAGTTCATGCAAAGATAAAACAAAACAAAATATATGGCGCACCCGCAATAGCTTCCATTGTTCCCACAACATCAGTTTTATCAATGGCTGGTTTCCAGTCCGGATAAACACGCTTATACTGAAGATTGGATGAAGTGTCTGGCACACCAACACCAAACTGAGGTACAGCAGAATTGCTCTGTGGCTGTGATTGACTGTCTGCTAGTTTTCCCTCAGGAAGAGTGTCTAAACCACCACTACGGCCATCACTTTCTGCATGCAATCAATAACATTCAAATAATAAAAAGCAAGCAAACACACAATTCAATGTAGAAACAATCAAAGAAACAAGGGTTTAAAGGGTAGAAGACAAACTTTGTTAGCAAGCATACATTAAACCACTAAGTGCAAGGTGGTACTCCACAAAATTTACTTTAAGTTCTAAAGCATTCTCATATAAAGTTCATCTAAACAGTATCACAAAATTGCAAAGCATTCAATACTGAATGAAATTGTAAATGTATAATAATTTACAGCTCCATTTAAAA